AGTATTATAGTTTCTTTTTGAAGCTGTCTAAGAAGTTATCTTATAAGCTTGAGATTGCTAAGACAATTTTTATGCCAGCAATGGTTGTAATCAAAGGTYGTCCACATCAGCATACTCCATTTCAAGCACGAACGTCAGTAATCATGGCTTTATAACATTCCCCATAGACTGTAATATTATGCTAGCTTCAGTTTGGGAAAAATATGAACCAATGATTCCCTCTARTGCTAGAGCACAAAAGTACGTACTTTTTGAAGCTGTAACAATATMTTATCTTGTGTTTATCGTGAGTCCAAATACCCCACAATTTTGTTTAATAACGTGGCCATTCAACCAAAAGTAAGCTCCATCGCTGAACAAAATTTTCTTGTGAAAGTCTGCAGCGATTGTCAGCTCGTTTTGTGCCTATTCACCGAAATTGCAATGTGCTTGATGGTCGTTCGAATTCAATTATTGCAGGGGTTAGGTTTATGAGCCTTGCACACCAAGATCCTGTCGCAAAATCTTCCATAACATTGATGGGCACAGCTCCAATTGTTGTACGCTATGGCTTATGAACTCATATCTCTCTCTGATGAAGCGCATTATCCACTCTGCTGGGCGATTATATCAAATCAAATGATACGTAAATCAAATAAAGGCAAATCCGGAAAAGTATGGCCTCATTGAGGATCACAACTTTACTTCAAAGTTTTCGAATATGTATATGAAATTTCGAAAAATGTTTTCGCTGATTCATAAGGGTAAACTATTCGCTGATTCATAAGGGTAAACTATTAACTAAAGAATGACCCTTGATTCTTGGATCCAACGACAATTTATGAGGGGTACTACAAACCTACTTTTTCCGAGACAGGTTCCAAATTATTAATCTAATTGCCTTTAGACAACCAATTAAAGATTGCTTAACAGAGTCTATCAGCAATTTCATGTAAATTTTCTGATATAAAATCGTTAAGTGAAAGCTTAGCAGCGCTTTTTCGTAACTTTATATAAACTTTTTCATACAATAAGCTTTGAGAAAGCTTTTCAGAGCTTACATGTGAGCTTTCTCATAAATGAAAATATATATTTTATGTGTCCAAGCTGATTAACATCGCGCCTTAGAGCTTTGACATGAATTTTCACAAACCGCGAAAACTTTCAAATGCTTTTACTTGAGCTTTATATATTTGTTGTATGTCGAACCATACTATTGATTAAATCACATCTCAGTGCTTGCATTTGAATTTTCCAATAAAACGAAAGTTTAGCAGAGCTTTTCAGTGCTTTCCTATGAACTTTCGCAAATAATGAACGCATTTCTCGTTATATAAAAGATTTGCATGCTTTCTATACGATTGCAACAACACAAAACTTTTATAGTAGAGATTCTCGTAGTTCTCCTATGAGCTTTCGCGCAATATTAATACATTTCTCGTTATATAAAAGCTTTTCAAGCCTTGTGTACTATTGCAACAGCAAAAAACTTTCATGGTAGAGCTTTTCAGTGTTCTCCTATGAGCTTTCGCACAAAATTAATAAATTTCTCTTTATATAAAAGCTTTGCAACCGCCCAAGACATTCATGTTAAAGCTTTCACWAGAAGCTTTCGCACAAAACTAATGAATTTATGAATTCACGTTATATAAAAGCTTTGCAAACTTTTTAACATCACAAAAACTTCGTGTTAAAGCTTTTCAATGCTTTCACTTGAGCTCTCTAATACAATTTGTGTTTTTATTTTGAACAAAAAAAAATATGCATGTTTCGCTGAAGCACCAAATCTTAATGCTAAAATTGAAAACACAGTGTTTTATTATTTTTTTTTTGCGCTTTATTTCTTTAACTTTGCTTTTATTTTATTTTTTATTTAATGTAAATTATGGATAAAATGTAATTTGGAAATATTTTGAAACTTTTTTGTAATGATTATTGAATTTTTTCTTTACCTTTTTTCTCCAGTTTTTGTTTTTCAGTTTTCTTTCTTTCTTACGCATCTTTGTTTGTTGCATCATAGTTTTTTTCGGCTTTTTTTCAGCATTAAGTAACACTTTCAATATACTTGCATTTTTGTATCAATTTAATTTCAACTAACAGACGAGCTTAAGTTTTAAAGTTGAGACGAGTCGAATTTCATAAAAAACGTAAGGAAATGTATGTGTTTGTTGGCAGGAAGGAAGTGATGGTAGTGGTGTAGAAAAGTGGATTTGAAAAATAATTTAAACAAATAGGAGTAGTAACGTGTAGTGTGTTGTTGGTAAAAAACCAAAATTATGTAAGTGTTTGTTAAGAAACATTTTGTTTTTGTTTTTTTCTTCAAAAAGTGTAGTAAAAAAGGTTAACTTTCGCAGAATTTTAAGTTGTTGTTGTTGTCTAGTAGAGTTTATAGGTACGTATGTACRTATGTAACCATAGTCAAGTTGCTTTGTATGTGTGGTCAGCATATACGGTCGTTCGTGAGATAAAGCCTAACATAAAAATTCAGTTGTTTTTGTTGTCAAACGGTGCAACACAGCGCTTGCATCTTTCTTACGCTTTCTGTATGCGTTGCGAAATCGCTGCAAAAAAAAAGAGTTAAATAACAATTATTGCGAATTGTTATCCATGTAGAGTTGCTTAAGAGTAGTAGTAGAAGGTTCTATCTAGGAGAAGGATTAAAACGTTGCTTAGCATAATGTTTGACCAAATATAGACACATTTGTATGTACGACGTTGGGAAGGCCATTCAGCCAATTCAAGCGGTGGCCCATTGTATGTTTGTATATGGAACGTTATGTGCCGCTTGTAGTGTCGTTGGGTCCGAAAAAGGCGTCAAATCCTCGGAGTTTGCGCCAATGTAAGCTTCCTCTCCGTTATAAATCAGCAAATTTATGCATGTTTGTGTAATTTAAAGATGATGAACTTGTACGCTATGCCAATTGTTGCAATTAAATGTTTCTGTGGAGGCATAAAAAAATATTATATTAATATTTGTAAAGAGATAATATTTTTCTAAAAATCTCAATATTCTTCTATAAAAAATTATATTTCATTT